ATTATAATATAATGCTTAAATTATTATTTTGACTTTTTGTTTTTAATACAAATCAGAATTTCAATCAAGATTGTATTTTTTTAATCATAAGTAAAGAATTTTACAAGATATCAAATTAAATGGATAAATTTATTTATTAAGGAAAGTATTTTTTACCATTGTATAATTTTCATCTTTTGAAATTTAAATCAACCTTTAAATCACTTTAATTTACTTCTTTAAATCATATTTTTTTACAAACACAAAAATGACTACAAAAATAATTTAGAAGAATAATAAAATTGATTTATTAGTTAATGAAAGAAGGAGAAGAAATGAAGAGTATTATATAAGATACAAAGGCAATAATATAGGATTCTGAAGGAGTGTAGTTCAATGAATCAATTGAAGATACAATATGGCATATTTAACTTGTCAATGTAAGTTAAAATAGAAGAATTTAGTATAGAATTATAATGTAAGTAAATAAATAAATAACAATATAATGATAAATATAACTTATCAATATAATTAATATCTTTTAAAACTTTTACGATTATTAAAATAGAGCGAGAAGAAGTGAAAGGTAGACCTATACGATGGAAAGATTATACAATTTCTTCAGGACTCAATTCTGGGATAGATCAGGTAATAATTAAAAATGTTTAAATGATTTTTTAGATTTATATTAATTATATTTACTTTTTTAGAATCGAGGTATACTCATAGGAGAAATTGTAATTTGCCTACTATAAGACAAGTACAAAACATAAGGCAAAACTGTGATAAGTCTATAAGGTAAAACTAAAATAAACGGCGAAATTGCAACGTGCTTACAAGGTCTGCAAGATAATAAAAATTTTATTTTTTTTCATATCATTTGTTTAATTTCATTTTTTTTTCATATCATTCATTTAATTTCATTTTTCTTTTCATATTATACCTTTAATTTCATTTTTTCTTTTCATTTAATTTTCCTAATTTCATTTTTTCGTTTCATTTCATTTTCCTAAATTCATTTTATAGTTTCTTTTCATTTGATTAATTTCATTTTTTCATCTCACTTAATTTTATTTTATACTTTCATTTCAGTTTCTTAATTTCATTTTTTAGTCTCGTTTAGTTTTCTTAATTTCATTTTTTTTGTCTCATTTCATTTTCTTTTCTTTTCTTTTCTTTTCATTTTTATTTTTTATTTTATTTTTTCTTTTATTTTATTTTTATTTTATTTTTTATTTTATTTTATTTTATTTTAAGAAAATAATAAATTTTTTTTTAAAAAAAATTAAGTAAATTAATAAAACTGTTGTATAACAATTAACAGATTGCATATTAAAATAAAACGTGAAAATATTTCTGGAAAAATTATATTATAGTAAAATTATATTTATATAATGAAATCAGTAATTATCTACTAAATTGAATTTGATGTTCAGATTGATCAGGCATTTGTTATAAAAAAATTTGTTAACGTTATAATGAATTATGAAAATGAACTATTTTATAAATTCCATAAAAATTAACCTTTACAAATTTTAAGAATGAATTATAATTATGCCTGGGTATTAATCAATTTTCACAAAGTTTAGCTTTGAAAAATATCTGGGTACTATTTGTGATTAGGTTAATATATATAGTGAATAGTATTCAGGTATTAATCACGAGAGGTATTGTTTTTTGAGAATACTGTATGCAGTAACATATGATATTAAGACAATGCTTATATGTAATGTCAGCTTTTAATTGACTAATTTTAAGAGTTTTAAAAGACTATACAATAAAAAAAGAAATTAGAGTATTATAATAATAATATTTTTATAATATATTAATATACCTTTAAACGATTCTGACGTTTTGATTGTATAAATCCTATGTAACTTCAAAGTCTTTTCGCAGAAGCTGCATTTACACATTTACCAAAAATTCTACAGGCTACAAATCCTAATTTATTTGTTAAAACATTAACATAACACCAATAACCTCAAATATCATTAAATTGCTTATATGAATCAAGATCATATGGAAATTTAGCTAACCGAAAATCATCAAATTCACAGAGAATGCATTTCAGTTCTTTTCCAGACTATGCATAATAATAGTACATAAGTTATTTACCAAATTCTGCATAATTAATACCAGGAATTGTATTAATAAATGTTGTATTTGATATTCTGGATGCAATAAAAAAAATAATAAAAGGAGCAGTTACTCACATTCTTTCCAACATTTTTCTAATTGACTAATTAAATATATAGATAAAGTATTCTCTGAATAATTAAGCTAAAATTGAATTAAATAATCTATACTATATACTATTTAAAATAAACGTGTTTTATCACATTATAATATATTAAGTAATTTGCAGTATAGATCTAAAATTTTACTAATTATTGTAATATTTTCCCAAAATGTAGCTGAATTAATAATTTCAAATATGTTGCATGATAAAGTTAAAATTCTATTTGGTCAACAAGATTGAATAAATGGTAATTCATTTTAATAGTTAATATACAATATTATATATTTTTTATTAATAAATATAGATATTAATAAAATTTTTAAATAATGGAATAATGCTACTTACTTGCAATGCTTTTTGAGTTTTTAAATGATTAATACATATATTAAAAGATTGTTCTATCACGTTTCTTCTAAAACAGATATAGCAATATACTTTTGATAGTTTCATATTACTGATTTTATAATTGAGTAATAAAGAATTTATGATTTGCATTTTTGAAATAAATGGCAAGCTGAATTGTATAATCAATAGCTGTTTTAAATTCAATACATTTTTTAAAAATTTCTCTCACACAAAGATTAATTTGATGAGCAAAATATGATAAGAAGACAAGAGATCTATTGGAAAGTCTTAATCATTGTCTTATATTAAAAAATTTTTTATTATAAACATAAATTATAAAATATAAATTAAAAAAGAAAAAAATGTAAATTTTAATATACTGGCTGCTGCATATATTGATACACTATTTGTTATAATAGCATAAACTGTAATATTTTTATTATTTAATTCAGAAAGTATTAATTCTATTTTTTTAATTACTTCAATATAATTTTCACATTCAGAACTAATATCAACTGCTTCCATATATAAGGTCTTCCTTTAGAAGTTAATAAAACCGAACCTAATAATTACTCATTATTTATATTTGTCCATCCATTAAATGTTAAAGTTACGCTAACTGGATCTTCTTTGAGTGCAATATCCATTATTGTATTTACTTCAGCCACAGCTCGTTTTAAAATTCGATCACTAAGAGTACGACGATCAGGTAACTTAAGAAAAGGATTTAAAAAGTTAAATAATTCTTTTGCTTCAGGATTATTAACCTTGATAATGCAAAACCACAAGAAACTGTAAGTCGAAGTAATAGTATATAAAATTTTTGTAAATCTTCTTTAGATAAAGGTCGAATGATATGGTTATCCATAGATCCAAATGAGGAAGACTGAACAGTTATTTTATGAGAAGAATTTGATGATGATAAAGAAGGTTGCAATGACATAAAATCTGAAACTATAAATAAAAAAAATTAGTTTAATGTTAATTAAATAATTAATTATAATTAATTAAATTTTAAAATTTACATGGTCTTTTGTTTAAATTTTGAGTTATATTTAATTGAAAAATCTCTTCTCTCTCTTCTGACGTTGTTTTATTAAGAAAATTAGGACATTTTTAAAATGTTGTATTATACAATCTTTTTTATTTGGAAACCATATTTCATGACCTTTTTCTTCTCCTAATACTTCTATACATGATTTACAAAATGTTTTCAAATTACATTTATTAACTTTTATTTCAGTTCTAATAATGTATTGTGCTAATAAAGTGGGAAGCGGCATTATAATAAAATGTGGCTTAAATTTTGATATTCAGTGGACATATAAATTTGTCCCAAACAGGTTAAAAATATATTTGAACATGTTCATTATAGATTTTTTTCTTTTGATGGACTGGTGATCTGATAAAAAATTAGAATTAGATTGTCCGGGACATAAAAAAATGTCCCGGACAATTTCTAAAATTAGCGGACGTTTATCGGACGCGGACGACGGACACAGGACACAGACAATGTTGTCCCATAAAAATCTGTGGACATCGTCCGTTGTACAACACTGCCCCCACCCTAGGTTAAGGATCCCAAAATTTTTCGACATTTCACATGACTGATATAGCAAAAATTATAACATTGCGAAAATAGGCTGATGATGTAATAGGAAAGCAAGTTTGGATGGCCAGAAATCATTGATATAAATAATGCATCTATTATAATAAATGGGTCACATTACGGAGCATATAACAAGATTTACTGGCAACGTTAACATGTAGTTTTTTTTATACAGGATGTAATACATAAAATACGTTAATCAAACTCTTATTAAGGACTTACCGAAAAAAGAGAATGGACATCGGCTCTCTTTTCCTCAGATGAACCCAATTCATAATCCTCTACATTGCTCAGCAACTCTTGTATAGGGCCAGAAATATCATTATAATCTTTTTTATTCGACCCGAATTTCACCAAATAATCAATCACCATCTGCGTTCCTCCATGCTTAAGAAAAGCCTCACGCGGCTGATCAAGTGATGTGAGATTTAGAAAAGCTGGTGTCATGATTTTGATTAAATCAACCTCCATATCACATTTCAAACTAAAAGTAATAACAGTTAAATTACAATATTCATATAAGAAATAAATTTTAAAAATAATATTTTGAATATACATGCCTATATTGACATATTTCAATCAAAAACGGCATCGCATTAGATATTACTTTTTCCAATGAACTATCTTCTGCGAGCCACGCAGAAAGAACACGAATACTAGCTAAAACACACGTATCTTTAATAACTTCTTCAACAAAAGTTGTTTCCTATAAAGCAATTATTTTAATTAGAATTTCAGTTTAATATTTAATCTTTTGATGATATCTGACATAATATTACTTTAATATCCACTAAATGTTCGATAATAAAACGAAATGTTTCAGTCATTGTTCCTTTTAACCGCAAGAGCAATTCAGGATCTAAATTTAATTCAGCTAATTCAATATCGATTTGTGATAAATATTCAATTGATTTTTCGAGAATAGTATAACAGGCAGATAATATAGTTTCATGTCGCTTATTAGATTGGAATTCTTGTAACTCCTGCTTTTCATATTTCTCAGCTAAATCATCTAGCAAAAGACGAACTTCAACACAAGCTAACTGAATTACTAAAGCAGCAAATTTAAAATCTTCGATTTTATTAGCAGAGGTCTGATTTAAAGATAAATTTTCAGTAGTTGAAGCAAATAACCAAGGTGCGCCAATATGATGAAGAAGCAGCATAATGAGCGACAGAGCTTTATCACGTTGTTCATTGCCTAAAAAATCAATCCATAAAAAAGTGATTAATAGTTCGTTAAATTTCAGATAAAAATTAATCCAATAAAAATTACCAAGTCTGCTACTTAAAATTTCTTTTAATCCGAATTTGATATTTTGTATCCATTCATCTAGTTTTGTTTTATCAGTTATAAAGACAATTTGAACAAACTACATTATGTTTAAATGAATTCAAATTTTTAGTCATTAAATATAGAGAAATAAAAAATAACTTGAAACTACTGTACCTGATCTGTCATATATGAAAACATATCGACAAAAAAATTGAGTAATTCAAATTTGAATTTTTCTTGATTTGTTCGAAAAGTTAAAGACAAATAATTGAGAACTGTATACATATAATTCTGAATAGACGCTATATCTGACGTGAGTTGATCGGTTGATATTATTAGAGTATTTGTGATATTAGAGACGACTTGCAGTGCTAAATCCCGAACTTCATCTAATAAAGCCGTAGCATAAATGAAAATTAAATCTAAATTTTTAAAAATCAAAAACTTTTGCGAAAAACCTTATTTACCATTCGTTGTGGTTGTTATACACGATAATATCTTTGTAACAACTTTATTGTCAACAAGATAATTAACAGCTTGATTGTCAGAAGATAATCTAATAAACATCTTTAAAATTTCTTTGGCTAATTCTTCGTTTTCTCTGTATAGGGATAAAAAAAAAATAAAATAAAATGAGAAATAAATTAAAGAGTTGTACGTAATTTACCTTCACACATACTTCGGAACTAATAAAGTTGACAAAGTAGGAATTCGAGCGTGGACTTGTCGTTTTGATAAAAGCTCTTCTACTTCGCAAAAACATGATATTATGTGAATAGCAATTGTTTTCAATATATTATCAGGTAATTCACTATCAGAAGAATTACCTATAAACGTATCAAAATAAGAGATAAACTCAAAGAATTAATACAAAGAATTAATAAATAAAATATAATTACATACATGTTCTCATTAAGCGTTCCAAAAATTTGAAATCCATAGATTCAAACACACGTATAACATTTTCCTGATCTTGCTGTAATAAGCGAGGAAGCAGCATAAGAGCAACAAACTTCGCATCGTCCGAGGTTTCAGGGCGCAATAAATTCAGACATTGAGTAATTTCACTCAGAGATTCTTGCTCAGAAGCCATCGTAATTGATAGAAATTAGTAAAAAATAGCATGATGGAAGTTTATGTTTATTGGTTGATCATAAAATGGAACAAATCGAACATGATTGGCTAATACATATCGTATCATATAAATTTATTAGTAACGGTAATACAAAATCGATACA